GGCAACGGTGCCTCCCATTCCTTGTCTCGGCAAGATGCCACTGGCAGTGGTGCATTCCGAATCTTGGGCGACGATGTGCCAGGATCGTTTGTGCTGCCCTGTGTCTGCAGGGCCATGTCAGCCCTGGGCAGCTGGACAAGGCCATTCCTCCGATTGGGCTGCAGTGCTCCCTCCTCTTGTACAACCGCATCGTCAAGAGAGTGCCACAGCTGGTGCAATTCCCTGTCTGCAGTTGCACACCCATGGCTGGCTTGTCTCGTTTGGTCTTTGCTGGTAGTACTCTGACTGACAGCCTTCAAAGGAATCTTATCAGTGGCTTCCTCAGTGCTTGGGAGGAAATCGTCATGGGTGCACACTGGAGAGGACGAGCCAACAGAGACAGCCGGTGAGGTTGGCTCATGCAGACGCATGGCATCTGATCCTGGCGAGGCTGGTTCTGAACCATCCAACACAACAGTAGCCATTGTGCTGGACCTTGCAGATCCATTGGAAGGAGAAGGGCGAAGGCAGTCAGCTGCACACTTCATGATAGCTGGTGGAAGGAGGCTGAGTTCTTCAAAGCTCGCTTGGCTCCCACACCTATACCCATCCATATTCGGGCTGTTTCTGGCTCGCCCGATGTGTGACAATACTGCAGTAGAGGCTGAAGATTCACTGTGGTCCTGCATGGCAGGGGCTATGTATCTGTATCTTTGGCCTACTTTTCCACCCACTGACAACTCGGCGCCAAGCTCTTGGCGACCCTGAACACCAGAGACCCATGCTGCCAGGCGCTCACCGGCATGCCTGCATCACCAAGCATATAACTTCTGATACCATGGTGAGTCACAACAGATAACACTTTGTTTGAAGAAAAGGACGCTGGAAGGAGCATGGCGACTTTGCTGCAGCTTGTCACTTACATGTTGAGCTTGTCCTGAGCATGGTGCGATTCGGCTTGCGCACACATGGGCCTTTCAGCAGGCCTTTCGGAAGCCACAGCTTCCATTTCCTCTGTTGGTGTCAGATGTGGTGCTGAGGGGCAACGCTGATCACTGTCCAGTGCAGACACATCAAAGTGGTTGCGCTGCCTGCAGAGAAAAGAAATCCTTGAAGTCAAACAAGCTGAAAGCTTCAAGCCCTCTGGTTGACAGCACTGCCCTGGGTACAGTGTCTAAACTGCCTACTGTCGCACAGAGTTTTGCCCAATCCATGTCCACAAAGAGGCACGTCTCACCTCGCAGGGGCAAACACATGCACTTCATAGCCCTGCCCATCGTGCCCTGAAAAAGGCTTCGCGGATTTGGCTCTTCTCAGCTGCATGCGAAGGTCCTCCATCCTGGCTTTCCTCTCTGCCAAGCCAAGCTTTCTGCGTTTATGTGCTTTCAGCCGATTCCTCTGCAACACACAGAGATGCATTCCTGCACGAGGTTGACCGTCTCAAATCCATAGACCGGCTGTTGCGCCTTCTCTGCTTTCTCTGAGCAGCGATGGGGGGTACAACAGATGCCACGTCACACGATCTGCTCCTCAGAAGAGACTTTGAGGATGACGGGCGGCTGTCAAAAGATATGCTCCGTCGATGTGTTCCACGTGCATCAGCACGATTGCGCGCCAATGTCGTGCCTTGCACCGCATTGTGCACCTTGCCAGGTGCAGGATCAGGAATGTTGTCCATTTCACTCTTTGTAGCCGCTGCAACTTTCCTTACATGAACAATCTTGTCGTATTTTGCTTTTGACAGTACCTGCACAGAACTGCACAACTCAGTAAAAGAGTTCCAGACGCTCAAGCCCAGCAATTTCAGTTTGCAGATCACTTCCACCAGGCTGGTCTATGGATATCCCGCTTCCTCAAAGACCACATTGCAGCACGAATTCCCACCTTTACAATTTCTGGTTTCTTCTGAATCAAGAGATCAAGCCCATCTGACATCTTCAGAGCCCATTCCCCCTGTCCTGACTTCTCATGAATCTGGACTGCTGCAGCCAGTACAGTCAGTGTCTCCATGGCACTCTTCCGAACCTGCAATGCGAAACACACATCAGCAGGCTTTAGCGCAGGGGTGAATTTTCAGTGTTCACTCTCAACATTGTGACAGTCCCATAGTCAGAAGCAGACAAAACAATCAAAATAGCCAGCGTGGTTGTGCTCCAAATCAAAGCAGCTTGTGCAAGGCCTACCTGCCAGTCATCTTTGTCCTTGGCACCCACGATGCACACCCTAATCGCCAAGCCCACCGTTTCTGGGGGCGCATGTGCTCCCAAGATCTCCATGCAACGCTGGAGGGGCCTATATGCATCTGCCACACGGCAGCCAAACAAACCTGCCGAGCAGCAGGTCTGCATGTTAGCAAAAGCCAATGAAACAAACTTGGGAGGCACACAGAGCAGCTGCATCCCTGCTGCCTGATTGCAATATCAAGGTGCCCAAAACACAAAATGGTAGAGGTACGTGACATGGTATCAGATGATGACAAAATGCACAAAATGCATCTGCGGCACTGTGCCTTGTAGGGTGGACAGCCTGAACCAACAGCATGGGCTTCTGGGTAGTTGTGAGCCAGGATTTTCAGCTGAGCAGCTCACCCTGCAGCATGGCCTGAACCACATGCTTGAAGCAATAGAGAACTGTTGGTACAACTCCAGGAACATGGGTCCAATCCCGAAGTGCTGAAAGGACACCATGCAGCACAGCAAAGGCCATGACGACCTTGTTCTTGTCTGGTGACCTGCACAACAGGGCAGTGCCTTTTTTAAGATATAGCATTGAAAAGGGAAGACAAATCATGACTTTCACCACCAAACAAGGCTTGATATCCTAGAAGATTTCCAATGAGCTCATAAGTACACAGAAGACAGCTTGGTGTGTCCCAGTCAACTGGTGGCCCACAACACACTCAAACGGTCGAAAACGTAGTTTCTCTGCATTGCAGACGTTCCTGGCAACCTTTGCAAACAAAGTCAAGGATGGCATCTACAGGCAAAATATTGAGCCATTGTGCAATGGGGTTCAAATTGAAAGCCACCCTTTCAATTCCACAGAATGGGCACGCAGCTACGTGCAGCACTACACAAATTCATCTGCCAACAGGACCATACTTTGCTGCTGCTCTTATGAGGCCTTGGACAAGTGTGTTGGTGAGCCACTCATTCGAAAACTCGCTTGAGCCATCGGTCTCTCCATCCATCACCTCCACCATGCGAAGCATCAATCTCTCAACGGACTGCTCGACCATCTGGACAACTGCCTGAATTACAGGCTGCTGTTTCTCTTCACCAAGCTGACGATTCACCTGACAGCTCAACAACAATGTCAGAATGCTCACAAGCTTTCTGCTGGTGCCTGCTACTGTGGGCGCTCAGTGAGTCCGGGCACGCAGTTGAGGCACTTCAGACTTGCCCAGAATCCCAGAGAAATGAAGACACGCACTTATAATTTTCGCCAAAAGGGCCACATGTGGCAAGATGACCTTGACTGCACAAAACAAATAGCTGCATGCGCATTCAGCTGTTTCCCACTCGCAGTCTCCACACCCATGTTTCTTGCAAAGAGAAGGCATTGGTACATCGCCTGGAAGAGACCCAGAAGTCAACCTAGCATCAATCAGCCACTCACTTTAGACATGACGAGTGGGACGATGTGTGGCACCGTTTCTGCTGGGCAACCCTCCACAGCATAGCCTGTAAGTAGGTACCGATGGCGCCGTGCAGATGCACTTGCACTATCAAGCCCTGTGCAGGAATCAGGCCTGTTATGTAACTACAGCAACCTTGACACATCCACAGCCACTCACAATGACTTCTGATAGTGATGCACAGAGAAAGATCGACGGAATCCCTTCAGGACAAAGCTTGGTTCCACTCCGTGCTGTGCAAAGATAGTTCGGCAGCATGCTAGTGCAGCAACGAAAGCAGACATCAGCTGGCAGCACCAAAGACAAGCATGCAGTCAGGGAGCCCCCACCGCACATGGCTGGATTAGGCAGTTCGAGACACTCTTGCGCGACTCACCCGTAAGGAGATCTTTGATGATGCTCTTGACGTCCTTGGCGGACTTCGACTGGCCAATTATGCTCCTGAGCCCCCATGTGGCCTGCTGCTCGAGGTCCTTGTCCTCCAGCCCCACCAGCCCGTACCTCACCCTCTGGCCTAGGGACCCTCCTCGCAGGTGGGCCATGACGGTGACGCCGCACCGCTAGCCACAGGGGACGCACCCCCGTCCGTCGCCAGCTGTACAATCTCCCCCCCTTCACTGCAGGTAGGCTTGCTCTGCCTCGCGGATCGCCCCTCGACTCCGCAATGCGCCTTGGCGTCGCGCCCCTGCGCGTCCACGCCAAGCCAAAAGTCACCCAGCTAGGGCTGCAGAGCCTCAAGGGGTCCTGAAAAAAGAGGTTCTTGAGGCCGCCACGCAGTTTCGGCCCTGCGGCAGGTGAGCCGCCCTCTGCCAGTCCATCCCCGATTCGAAGCATTGCAGCCTCCGGCGTCCGTAACCCCTCCGCATTCGGCGCTCCCAGCGCCCGCGGCGGTCGTCCGGGCAGCAGCAGTGCGCAGGCGCGTCCGGGCGGTGCCGAAGATCCGCGCGGTCTGGCCAGCCGCCGTGGCACTACGGTGTCGAGTCGAAACGGCGCGCCGCGAGCACGGGGCGCCTGCGCGCCGGGGGAGCGGGGACAATCAGCGGGGGCCCGATGCCACGGACGCCAACTTTGGATGTTCGCCCCCCCGGCCGTCCCCGAACGAGGCTGCCGATCTCAGACCCGCGTCAAGTCAGCCCTGAGACGGTCTGGGCGGCTCATTACGGCTCCCCAGTCTGATTTCAGAACAAGGGCGGCGCCGGCGGCGCACGACAAATCCGCCAAACACGGGCCCAGCGGATTCGTTTTCGCGACCGGGGCGGACTCGGCTGGGATTTGCTCCACCGGCGGCCGCAGTGCGAAGATCACCGCGCAGACGCTGTCGGCGCAGGACCTAATCGCCCACCTCGCGCGCCGCGGGGCGGCATTGCCCGCCGCCAAACCCTCGCGCGCGGCGGACGCGAAATGAGCGACGCCCCGGACGGAAACACAAGGGCGGCGGATGCTCGGGACGGCGCAGGGGGGCCCCGACGAGCCGGTGGTGGTGGCACGGCGTCGTTCATAAGGCCCCGCCCCAGCCGGCCAATCTCGCCGATTTCCGGTCGCTGCGGCCGTCCCAGGTCCCACGGCGCGCCGCAGGATCAGCGCCGAGCCCGGGGGGGAAATTCGCAACCCCCAGGCGGGGAACATGGCCGTCCGTCTCGGACACCATGGGCGCGGCTTCCGTGAGTACCGTGCACGCCGCAAAAGTGCAAAAACCGTGCACCGGCGCCCGGGGCGCCGCTGGTTTGACGTCCGCCCCAGCGCGGCGGTCAGCTGCCCCCGCCCTCCTGGGCGGGGAGGGGGGGGGGGCGCCGGCCCGCTCACCTGCGCTGCCGAGTGTCGCGCGCCACGCAGGAATCCCACGCCGCTGTTGGGTTCACGTAGGCAATTTAGGGCACCAAGTCGCCTGGAGCCGGACATTCGGGCGAGAGAGCCGCTAAATAAGGTTTCGGCGTGCGCACGCAGTATGCGGGGTTTGTGGCCGCCAGCGCCCTGCCGGATCAACTTTTGGGGTCCATGTCCGACGCGGCTGTGAGCGAGCTTTGCTGGCGGGGGTGACAAGGATCCCAGCTGTGTTGATGGAAGCAATGCACCAGCCGCGCCATGCTTCGAGGGGGCCCTCGCTTCCTCTTCTGCGCAAGGTACTGGGCATCCGCATGGTTTTGGGGGGGGGGTACATGTGGGGACATGTACGGTGGCGATGAAGCAGGGCGGATGGATTGGGACTTACTCACAGCCACATCGTGACTGGAGTTCGGAGACAAAGGGAGCTCGAAAGCTCGAGTCCAGCAGGTCCGGTGCCAACCGAGTTACAAACAGCGCTCTGTCCTGTCCCCAATAAATAGGCTGGACAATTGTACCAACATTGTTTCCAGTACTGTAACCACGTTAGGCACAAGATCAGTACCTTCCAATTCTCAGCGCTCAACCTGGCATAATGCCTCTCCTAAAGGAGTAACGACCTGATAGGTCCAAGAAAATAAACGTGCCCCGTTCAACATAATGGGCCAACATTCCCAACAGGCGACTGCTTCTATTGGCGGCAGCGGTGAGTCTTTTCTCTGCCAGCGGAATGCCCGCGGAACTGTGATTTGTTGCGACAGTGCCCAACTAACATACCTGGGGCAGTTTTGTTCCAATACGACGCAGGTCCTGGCAACAGAGTGACTTGCAAATATCTCAGCCCATTGGGGCCATCCATTCATCGAGCCGTAGATATTCCAATTATCCATGTGAGGCAAGAGTTTGGAATAAATGACAAAAAGCCGATCGTTGATACTTCTGCAACGCTGAGATATTCGCCCACGGGGCCTCTCAGACAGACCGGCTGCACCATTGCCTCTCTCACCCTGGATTCACGAAGCGCGACGTCTTGCCCACGTCACGGCACGTTCGAGTACTCGCGTTGGACTCTGATAGACTCAACTAATACGTACTCCAGTGTTGCGCGTCAACCCATATTTGCGATCTCCATTCTGACCTTTCAACCATAAGTCGCAGTCTCATTTCACTCGGACCCAATGCTTCCCCGTTAAGATAGTACACGGTCCTTGTATTCCTGATCAGCGGCCATGATCGTTAGAGGTCAGGCGACCCCTGCAGCCTCGCTCATTCTGGTGCGCGGAGACACGGGTCACTCATGGTACATTACGTCAAGGCCTTGGGGTTGTCTGCACTGGTTATATCACGCATCCAGCGGCCGTACTTCGGATTTGATGGTGGATTGCAATGCCGGAAGCAACTCCGTTGGTCGTGTAGCGTCAGCGGTGGCCTTGGGGCCTTCTTTGTTGTGCCACTATGCACCTTGCCCGCTTCGCTGCCCTCATGTCCATTCACATCCCTTCCGGGTGCCTTTTGCACACCAGAGATCTCGTCCACCTTAATTAAGCTGGACAGCTTGTCATTTGCATGCCTCATGCTCATTACGGCGATGCGTACAGTTCTCTAGCAGAAATTACCACAAAACTGGTATCAAACATGGGCTCGTTTCGTAGCAATGAACTGAAGCTCCAATGATGTATGTGGTGCAGGGTTCATACTGTGATGATATGCTCAGATGTTTTTGTACGGTATGATGACATGATGCGACTTTACTTACGAATGTGCGGATAGACGGGACGTTATGTACAGGCGTGAATGTGTGGACAGAGTGGACAGAGTCACTGCATGTGGATGACCTGCCGTGAGATTGTAACCTTTCTTTGCCCGCTGTGCAAGGCTGTACTATACAAAGCCACTGCTGATCCCACGTGCATCTCACGTGCTGCCTCTCCAGCTGTGCGCCCAGAGGCCCTTGACACGGTGGCGCCGCGTCTTCTGGCAAGGCTGGACATACGCTTAACAGCGTAGTTTGCAGTGCTTGATAGCATTCGCACAGCACAGACTCAAAACTGCGGTACGCAACATCACGAAGATAATGGCATGAGCCACTTGTCCGCCTCCGATTCCTGCTGCATCATTACGCACTTGCAGCTGAGCACAACTGAGACATTGCCAGGTTAGCACGAAATTGTACGGGCCAGTAGACAGGAGGGACAAGCAGGGTCCAACAACGCGGTGCTGTGTTTTCCAAGGAAGGCAAGCCTAGAACACACCTTGTTTACGTCCGGCTTCCTGCGGCTTCCCGCCCAGGCACGCAGTGCGGCGCAAGTAGATGATATTACATAATACAACAATCCAAACGCAGTGTCCCCGAAGTACTCATTCATTGGAAAGTGTGCCTTGTCCGGTCCCTGTCACCTCGTGACTAAGCGATCTCCAAAAGATCAAATATCCAGCGCAGCCAATCCCCCCCAGGTGTGGGAGGGAGGGCGAAAACGAAGTGAGGTGTGTGCGCGCGCGCTGCCCCAAACGTCCCACTACCCTGCCAGAAACTACGGGCAGCACGCGTGCCCCAAAACTTTGCATTTCCAATGCATTGTGATCGTCCCATGGGCGACCCCCGCCCTTGCCGGTAGACAGGTACTAAGACCCAACCAGTATTTTTCTCCCGCCCGCCTTCGGGCCTCCCGTAAACTAGCTTACTCCGCAGACTCCGTAACCAACACTTAAGTCCGGCTTCCTGCGGCTTCCCGCCCAGGCACGCAGTGCGGCGCAAGTAGATGATATTACATAATACAACAATCCAAACGCAGTGTCCCCGAAGTACTCATTCATTGGAAAGTGTGCCAAGCTCCAAAAGATGACCCGCCCCAGCTTCAGGGCCCTGCGGACGGGCCGGGCTGGGGCGGGGGAGAACCAGAGGGTGCAGCAGGGAGCGCAGCCTCCGGTAGAGGCCCGAGAGCCGGTGGAGATGAGGAGGGGGAGCCGTGGAAGACATCTTGGATCGCGGCGCGGAGGTGGTCGGCGGGCGCCACCATCCACCCGAACAGGCGGAAGTCGAATTCGGTGGGTGTCCGTTGACGGTCGATGTAGCGCCAAAGGGCCTTGGATTCAGGCGCCCACCCGCCCCAATCGCGTATCCGGCTCTCAGGGACGAGAATCGAGAAGGCGGATGAAGCGCCTGTCCGCCGGGTACTGTGGTGGGTGAGATTGGGGGTGGGGAGATGTGCCGAGGCAGAGCCGAACCAGCCCCGAACAGCCGCGGCGGTGGGAGGCCGCCGATCGGCCGGTAACTGCAGGAGGTGTAGAGGCCCAGCTCCCGGGCGGCGGGCCCACTGCGAAGCGCGGAGATCCCGGAAATGGCGGATCAGGGCGGGGAGCTCGGGCACCCCGCGGGTGTCAAATTCGCGGAGGCGCCACTGTAATTCCCTGGTCGCCTTGGTCTTGAACCGGCGTTCACGAAAAACGAGGAGATGGCCCGTCACGTAGAGGTCCTCGTTATCTTGTGGGCCGAATCGGCGCATAGGAAGAAGATGGTGTCGAGGACTGCCGATAGGAATGGGCGCACGGTAGTCGCGGTGGAGGCTTGGAGTCCGAGGTGAATAAGACGAAACACCCCAGAGGCCGGAAAGGCCTGAATGGAGTCCCGGTACTCCTCCCCCGGGGCGTGCTGGCGCCATGCGTCGCGAAGCCGGGCGGTGATCGAATCATGGGCGTGGAAATGGCGAAGGCCCACCCGGCG